GAATGTGCAGAGGGTAGAAAACGGTCCAGGCAGAAGTGAACATGATATCAGGCATGTTTGATTAGATTATCCCGTTTTAGTAGAAAATATGTGGTATCCATATAAACGGAATTCTAAGGGATGCATTCTTGCATACTAGTTATTTACTACTTATGTACTAATAACCAACTCGATAAGATATAGAACTCGCAAATTTTAGGTATCTATAACTACTGCCAACCTTTAGGTTATTACCACAATAGCGCATTATCAATCTGCCTAGTGGAAATACCGCAATCATCAACATAGAGAGCTTATGAGTGCTAAGTCTATTCCTTAATGTCAAACCTCAAATATGGCCCCCCTAGGCCATAAATAGGAACCTTGGTTTTTGTTATGGTCTAGTGGAAAAGTACGCTGTATCTCGTTCAACACTTGTCTAAATACCCCTCCAGAGGTAGATACTGAACTCTATAATGAGATAGACGATAAGATCATCCATAAGCAGAATAAGTATAAGGTATATTTCGACCATTTACTAATAAAGTATTCCTTAAGCGAGCTGGCCATGGAAGCGAGCTGGCTACCCTACACAAGCTACTAATTTCAAATACATATAACTCAACCAAAACTACATTAAATTAAATACACTGAAATGATCTATTCTCTGGACATGCATTTCTTTTATGACCCAAATTTTTATATAGCCCGTATGTTGGTAATGCTATCGTTTGGGGCTATTAAGTGTTACGCACTGCCTAACTGGTCACAGTTATGTTGGAGCTTCCCTGATTATACTTGCCTGTGCTGATCCTCCAACGTCAACGATCTGCCTCTCAACCGAGCTGTTGCTGCGCACAGTCTTATTCCAGCCTAAGTCCTTTTGAGGGTATCGAGGAACGATGCCAGGTAGAGCGCCGAGTAGATCTATACCGCAGTATTGGTCTGCTCGTAGGTGTCGTCAAGTGATAATATAGTTAACGAGTCAACGTGGTTCCAAAGGTAAACACAAGTAACAATGTAGGATTGAAGACAAAGAACTAAACTAAGTACATGGAATGGTGCCCTTATATATCTGTCGAGATGTGTGGTGCCACCATGAGATAGGTACAAATGCCTCAATGGTGCCACCTCTGAAACACCAAACGTTTCAGAGTTCTTCGCTTCCTACTCCCTGGGTGACTCCCCTGGAGTCACTGCTGACAGATAGATCTATTGGCTCTTGGTGGCCCATCTGTGTACCCGGTGGGGCACCACTGATTGGTGACGGGTAGGTCCGTAACAAGCCTGCCCCTGACTGTACCTGTCAATGGGAATCTGATCTGTTATGACCTGTTGCTACCAGTCATCTCCTATCATACCGTCCTGCCAGCCCGCACCCTGACAAGCCGTTAGGACTAACTTTAAAGCGCTAATCTTTTAGGAGGCCGTTAAACTATGATTCAATAAAGACTTTAACTTTAAAAATTATACACAGAGGAAGCACCTATATAGAAGTATTTATGTATTCAACCACCGTCACCCATTCACAATTTCTAGGTTATTAAACCGGCCTCTAACCGTAGTATTCACTCCTCGTAATAACCTTCACAGTTACAGTTAATCCTATAGCGAAACCAGTCTTATCAAAGTTATAAATATCGTTAGGGTCAATTCTAAATTAAAGGATCGTCTTTTAAACCATATTAAACTACCCCCTAATAATTTTAGGGTCTTTACATTTCGCACACTCGTAGTTATACCGTTTCGAGAATTGGGAAGAGAGAAGAGGACGCCTTTTAAGAAAGTTCGTAACCCAATTTTCGCCGACCGAAAGAACCGGGGTAGTTCTACGCTGTTTAAGAAGAAGATCCGTCATTTTTCGCACCATAGAGGGCCGGGGGGCTACTTCACGTAGATCCATAGAGAGAATCCACTTTTCAAGAGATTTCTCTTCAATTTAAGTCAATTTAGATCAATTAGCGCGGGTCTCAGCCCGAAAGGTAGTCCCACGAAGGCGCGTCAGGAGGGTTGATTCGGGTACATGAAAACGGCGCGCTGCTTCACGAATAGCGCTGATTTTTTGCTTATTAATAGCCTGGATAGCTAATAAGATCCAATCCTCTTTTTCAATTGAATTTTGATAAGATTGAGTACGAATTGGTGGCATGGTGAGTGGTTAAACTTAGTAAGATCTAATTCCTGGACGCGTTTTGGGTGGGGTGCGCAGCTCGCATGTGAAATACGTTATGGTACTGGTAGGAGAGAAGTAGGTGTGTTGGAAGCATGTGAATATTCACATGCTGCCACATGCTCCTAGGACTTAGTTTCCCATCTTGTAGATAGTTTCTCTCTCTCTCTCTCTTCACGCACAACAGAGATTTTCCAGTTACATCTACACTTCATAGTAGAACTGTATTACATCTCCATCAAGGTGGTTGTTGGTAAGTGGTAAGGTAATGAAACGGTTAAGGCACACGTGAATTGTTAGCGGGGAGCCTCAGGCTCGTGGACCAACTGAGCGGCCAGGGGGCCCCCCTGGTGTGTAGTCACTCCAACCTTTCCCCGCAAGTGGCTAAGTGGGCCCCGAAGTTAATCGTCCACCTAGCCCCACCTGCCTTCGCAGGATTGGGTCCGTTACACCATAGAGCATCTTACAATACGGTATTTTTTCGTGTAGCGCGGCTATTTCAAATGTGCACAGGCACCAACAAACTCTATTTTAATTAACTTTCAACTTTCAACATAGTTAAGAGGAAGAAAAGCATTCACACAGAATTTAAATAAGTGAAGTCCGTTTTAAACGTATTACGAAATAATACATGGAAAAAAGGGAGTTTATTGTTGGTGTCCAAGTACATTTAAACACTCGTTTTCTGATTGATCCTTGAATCCAGCTTGATGAAATGCCACTGATGAGTTTTTGCATCTAACTTTAATATGGCGCGCCCATATAAAAGATACCTAATTTTCAGGAGCCGCGTACTACGAAAAAATTTGTAAGGTACAACAGATCCAATCCAGCTAAGGCAGGTGGGGCTGGGAAGATGTTTATGTTCGGCTTTTCCGAGCGATCATGGAACTATTCCACTTGTGCATAAGATGGTATCGGCATATATACTGACACAGGTGAGCTTTTGATCAGTCTTTTCTCTGACTTTACTCTCAACACCCCTAGAAAGGATTAATTTTAACATTCATGTCACCCTACGGCTACAAAGAACAACACATGTCGTGGGTGAACTAGAGTGTTAAGAGATCAAAATATTTGTTGGCTTCAAGTCATGAAAGCAAAATTTGTTGTTCTTAGGAGTAGTGATATAAAGACAAACCAGAGTAGTCGAACCGGTCCAGGATGACCCAGCTGTCAAAGGGTACGCAGCCCAAAATTTTGACTCTCTTCTTCGATGGATGGAGCGTGAAGCTCGGCCTTTCTAGAAAAGGCTCAGACAAAGGGCATACCTAGATGTAAGAAAAGGAACGGCATCTTAGACTTGCGCTCTAAGTGTGGAGGCATGTAGGTTATTGCCAAGCGCTTACACCTTACCTCCGCACTACTCCTGTCCTGACCAAGGATGAAAATGTATCTACAATCTAAAACATACTATCTTAGGGCAGATAATCTCAAGCCTAAGCCTAGGAAGGGTTGCGGAGAGAGAGATTGAGGTGATACGGTTTCATAGTCCCGGGGGTGTAACCGCCGACTCTTTGCACAACATTCACGTTGAGCTCCTGAATAAGCCATTCGAGGGTCACCTGCAGCTTGTTAACGGGGAATGCGGGATCAAAGGTCCGATACGGAGTCACTATTAATTCGGAAGCACATTCATGGAACGTGAAGCGCAGCCGGAGTGATTCATCTGGTTCACACCACCTGATGCACCCGATTTACAAAGTCTGCGTGCGTTCTTCGGATCAAGGGTTGTGGATCGCTGTTTTCCCATCCTGATCTCGGCACCTTTCAAAAGGTGCGAGAGTATTACCATTGTGGTAGATGCTAAGAGAACATGGTTTGCCAGAGTGGCCTACCTGAAACGCGAAGAAGACGAACAGTGTTTGCCCCAAAAAAATGCCTCTGTTGCTAGTCTGATTGGGGGAATGCCTGGTTTAATCAAGAGTCTGTTGCTCCCATTTTACAGTGCTGGGAGGTCGATCATCATCAGGCGTGTGCTTATTAGGCTGGTCCGCTTGTTGGGCAGCATAATTGTAAGTATCTGCTTACCATTAGACGGATTTTAAGACTATTGTTGGAAGCATGTGAATATTCACATGCTGCCACATGCTCCTAGTACATAGTTTCCCGTCTTGTAAATAGTTTCTCTCTCTCTCTCTTTTCACGCACAACAGAGATTTTCCAGTTACATCTACACTTCATAGTAGAACTGTAATACATCTCAATCAACTATCTTTATTAACAACATTCTAGTTATACTGATTTTTGGATTTTTGGGGCATTCGATTCGGCTACGCGGGGAATGATGCAGTTGTTGCTTGATCTTGGTTTGGTCGATGAAGCTAAAGAGATTACTGAGACTTGAATACGAAGGTGGATCAAGTTGTGAATGTCTACGTTTTTGGGGGATCTAGGGATAGAGATTTACTTAGAGCAGTTAATTATTATTAGTATGCTGTTCATAAGAATTAGATGACAAGGCTACACGTGAGATTGACTGACAATCACTCTTATAACAAAAAAGGTCATGTAAACAATTGTCTCTCCCGTTGTAAAAATTTAAAAACGCTTACAAAAAAAAGTAGAAACACGTTGATGGTGGCTCCTGCAAATCAGAACAGCCTCCTCAAAGATCTTTATTTCAGCAATTCCCACTTAAGACCTTTACTAGCTCATCTCCAAATGGCCAGAGAAAGCCATTGTAACAATGAAACATGTACCTTCAATCCCAACATAGTCCTGAAAATCCCAATCAATATAATGGCACAAGCATTTCTCATAAATCCCCACTTCAAGTTACAGTAATAAACTGACCAAGAGGAAATCAAAAATGACACAAGAAGGTATGTTCACCCAAAACGGCGTCTACATGAACGAGACATGCCACATTCGTGGACCCATATTATGGGTAAACGTCTTCGTTGCGACTCCAGAAAACCGCGAGAAAACGGATGCAGAGCTCATGGATCTCGTGGCTGAGACTATCCACACGAGAATTGCTAAGAAAACAACCCCTTTTAGTGTCTCAATCACCCCCGAGCCCATGCACCACAGAGTCATGGGCTGCCTGTCGTTGCCTGCCAGGGGGAATTATTGGGCATTTACACAATTTCGAGATTTACATCTTGATGGTTTTCTTAGGGATGCTTTGGAATTGGCACTATTTTATCAGGCGGAATGTGAGGCTGGGAATATTCAGATTGATCGGGTGAGACTCTTTCGGGTTTTTCATTTGAGATCGGATACCTCTTAGGTTGTTATTGACCTGGATTGGATTGGTTTTTGATTTGATTTGTTGATTCCTTTTGTTGATACGATGGGTAAGCAGTTTAGACAAAGGATTAATTGCTTTGATCCCGAGAAGCGAAATATTGTAAGCCTTTGTTTCTTACTTCAATATATTCCTTGGCTAGGCTGGCAACAAAGAGCCCATCAACGCTAGGAGCCTATTGATCCCAAGGACTCGTACACTTTGATTTTGAAGCTTGAGAATGAAAGCTTCGAGCGGTTTCTCAAGTTAGTTCTCATAATGAAAACAGAAAACTCGAAAAAAGCGGTTGTTGTCAAAAGATGCTTTGTTACTATAAATGGCCTCAGCAGCTTACTATAATTGGATGCTATCCTGTCTCAGTGTGGCGTTTTTAAGCATCTTCACCTCCAATGCCAAGGTCTAACCAACACTCGGAGAGTGAACACTCAACTCGCCCGTCTGACTTCCTGTTCCACTGCAAGAACAAATGAATTCTCCCTACAGCTGATTCAGTTCTCAAGCTCGCCCCCATTGGAAATAACACAACAAAATATCAATATGTCCACAAAAACTGCATTCAGGACTAGCATAGAGGACCTTCCCATAGCCGACGGTCCGTCAGGAAAAAATGTTGTATGGGCCACAGTGTACTTTGACCCCGACGAGGC